AGAATCTTCAGTAGCTTACAGAGTCTTGTGAGGCTTAGAGAAAGTCTGCAGTGGTTCTCAACCTTCCTAATGCCGCGACCCTTTAATACAGTTCCTCATGTTGTGGTGACCCCCCAATGTCATTGTTACAAATTGAACATAATTAAAGCATAGTGATTAATCACAAAAACAATATGTAATTATATATGTGTTTTCTGATGGTCTTAGGCGACCCCTGTGAAAGGGTCGTGCAACCGCCAAAGGGGTCGCGACCCACAGGTTGAGAACCGCTGGAGAGGCTAGCACTCTAAACTGAAAGATACAATTGTCTTTAACTGGAAAGTGCTGTTGCAGCTTTGAGAGCAATGGCCACCAGCAGTAAGACAGAAAACTTAACTTTATAGCCACTACTACACTTGCCAGCACCAATGCCATTTCTGTGACAGCAAATCATCCTTTCTTCTGAAAGCTAGATGCCTCTCCTGCCAACAAAGACAAATAGAAGAATGGAAGCTCCATACTGGTCCCATTTTCTCACACTTCTCAATTTTGAAGCAAATTCATTCATCATGTTTCTGAACCATAGAGTCAAGGTCATATGCCTGTTCTTAGCTGAAAGGGAAGTTTGGAATATCACATTCTGGTTTTTATGTCTATGAGCTACATAAGCTTCACAATGCAGGAATTTCCCCCAATAAAGTAAAACTATTATTACTTAAAATAATGACATACATGGAAGTAACTTACTAAATATACAAGAGAAAACTGAAAACTAAAGCTGCAAAAAGGAAGAGAATATGAAATTAAATTATTGGAATAACAAAACTCTGGAAAGCTTCTACAAAAGGAGATAAAGCCTTACCTGAAAGCTTTGTTCACGGGGTGAATTTAAAATAAGAGAACTGGTTGCATGTATGTACAATTTGACCTTAAACTTGTCCAATAGAAAACAAATGTAGACTCAGTAAGAAAAAACTTTAATCAAAAAGATTATTGCAAAGTGGTTGTTACAATAAGGAAAATGTTCTGACCATAAAAACTACAAGCATCTCAATAATTAGACAAGAGGAATTTTTTTATAGAGAGGAATAAACAAATTGGGTATGGGCAAGAGGTATGAAAAAATGGAATCAGACAGTAGTTCAGGGAAGGTTTTATTCTGGGTCCGTCCTATTCTCAGGAGAAGCTGTTAAGGAGGGGCTGTATGCTCCCTCAGGCTGAGGGTGGGTCAAAGTTCAGAGACCTGGGGAAAGGAGAGAATCTTAACCAACTTTTGATTAACATCCATTTTGTTCTGATTGATGGGGGAGGGTAATAATTCATAAGACATAGAATGGGAATTTGGAGGTCTGTGTTTGGTCTTGTCAGAAGTAAACACGGGGAGGATTTGTGTGTCTTACCTAATTCATATGGAGAAGAGTGGTTCTTTGGAGTAAGCCCTTCTCCAGAACACAAAATGGTGGGGAAGATTCCTTTAACTTTCACTGTTTTTCAGGAGCACAGATTCAAAATTGTCAAATCCCTTACCCTAGCCAAAAGAGCATAGAAACTTCACCCCTTCCCTCTGGGGCTAAAGATTTACTCTCTAGATAAGTTAAGCCAGATAGAATATGTACAGGCACATCTGAGGACAGGAGTGAGATGTCATAATAAAAATAGGGGAATTAAATAAAACCTGAGAAAGCCTAGTTAGTCCTGTAACTGATTGCATGGCAGTCTTTTCATCATCCCAGTTGACTGATAAGCATCAACTGCAGATATATATTTGATTGTTACTTTGAAACAGGTTTTTTAGATAGTCCTCAGACCCTTGAATTAGCTTGAATAATTTTGATTAAATAATTATCTTGACTTGGTCATTGTTTTGTACAAAGATTTTCCTAATGGACTTTGTAGTCAACAGATATGATTTTAAAATTCTAACTATGCTGTTTATTCTCTCAGTGATTTTGGACAAGGGTTGTGGACTGGATTCCCCAGGTTACAGAATGTGACATGGATTTTTGGAGGCAGGATGTTTACTAAGAGTGCCCTGAGGAACAACGCCCAGGGAAAGAAGGATTGGGTAGAAAGAAAAATCCAGCTTCAGTGCAGGCCCATTGGAAACCCTGACCATTCCCACAGGGAGCGTGGCACTGGAAAAACCCTTCAGAAATTTCCCAAGATGAGCCAAGATAGGTATTTTTGTACTCAATTTTATTTATTTCAAAGGAGTTTTAGCAAGTACAGAAAATTCATTTGATTGTTTGATAGAACAAGGATTATGTTAGCATAATGTATTGACATGGATAGAATTATTCTGAGGCATTCTGTAACACAAAGGTAGCAAAAATAAGGAAATAACCTTTCAGAGAAAGGGATATTTTCCACCTGGGAATTTTACACCAGGATGAGAAACTTAGCCACCACTATCATTTAAAGGCTACCCTGAACACTTTGAGATATTTGAAAATATTTTTAGGCCTCGTTGACTCTCTGACAATGCTTTTATATTTTGAGGTCACAGGAAAATTGGAAACCATCCTGTATAGCACTTGCACTTTAACTTGCAGCTTATAAATGACCATTTCTGGGTGAAAACAAGGCTTTGTAATCAACAGTCAGTTTTAGAATGTGGTTTTGTTTTTAGAGGATGACATGCCATAACTACCATTAATCATTTATTCCATCATATTATAAAAATAAAATAATGGTTTTGTTTTTTATTCCATGACTCTTAAGATCAAATAAGACCAATATTTAAAAGAAATGAAATGTATTCTGCAATCATTGCTCTTGCAGATACAGAAATGAAAAGTCCTCACTCTAAATATCAACTATTTCCAAAAATAATTAATAAATCTATATACTGACAAATATTACTTGATAAACTCCTACACAAAGCTGTTTTGAGAATTATGATGAATTTTACCTTAATTATAAGTTATAGTCTCTGCCTTTATATTATTACCTAATTATTCCAGGCCCAAAAAATCTGATAAAAGTATAGTTCAAAACCAATATGTATCTGTCAGGGTTCTGTGTTGCAAACTGAAACTGACTTTGGCTTGCTTAAGCAGAAAATGAATGTATGGCAAGGATATCTGTCAGTTCACAGAACTGACAGGATGTCTGTAGAACCAGGCTTAGCAAATGAAAACACAGGGATGCTTGTATAAGAATAAAATGAAAACACAGGGATAGTTGTATAAGAACAAGCTTTTTCCACTACTGCTAAACCCAGCCCCTTTTTTATATGTTTTCATAGATATACATCTAATTGTTTCTTTCCTTCACCTTTGTGACACTTTCAGAATTCAGATTCCCGAACCACAGAGTTAAGTTTTGTTGGTTTGGTTGCCAAGGGCAGAGAGAGATTCTCTTATTTGGCCTTCTCTTTCACAAAGATTCCCATTATGGAGAATTCCTCCAAATGAAAAAAGAAAATTGGATGCTGGGAAATAAAAAAATGGCAAATTTTCACTACAAAGTGGGCATCATGAACTTTGTTGGAGTCTGGTGGACAAGATGAATAAAGATGGAGTAGCCAGGAAAGGGCTTTGTGGGTGAGGAATGAACTAACATGCACTTGCACAATGTTGAGCCCTGAGGTCAATAGAGAGGGGCAAGGCTGAGGAGAGGCAGCCCTTGGCAGTCCTGCATGCATCAGAAACCCTGGTGGCTGCAATTCAAGGACAAGTGATACTCTACAAATTCATGACATGCTTTAACCCCCTTACTTCTACTGCTCTGAGTGAGTACATGTCCCCAAATCATGGTGGGCCATTCTTCTGCAACCTGCTCACAGAAACCCTGGTGTTTTGTGATCTTCATAAGACCAGGGAGATCACCTGGGCTAAAAGAGGTTCCTTATTTTACAGAGGACAAATCTGATGCTCAGAGAAGGGGAATTATTTGAAACTGGTAAGTCAGCAACAGTCAGATTCAGAACCTGCCAGCTTGGCTTCAAGGCTAATGCTCAGTCTACCAATTTTGTTAGGTCTGTCATATGCTAACTACACCAAAGACCCTCATGTAGACTGTTGTTCCGGTCCTCACTTAGACTGTTGCCTTGGTCTCCTAAACTGTCTGTTTCCCTTGAGTCACTCCAGCTCTCGACTGAGGTCAGATTTATCTTATAAAGTAGAAAAAGTGAACAGGTTTTAACCTGCAGTGATTTCTCAAATGAATGAAGTTCAGACTCCTGAGCATAATTGTAATTTCCGGAGTCTTGGCTGCCCCTTGGGCCTTGTCACCTGCAAGTTCCCAACTTTTATGCAGGTATTCAAGTACTGTCATGTCTCTTCTGTTGTTTGTAGTTGCATATGCTTTACCCTTTTCCCATAATTCCCTCATCCCTTTCTTTCCTGTAAACTCCTTTGCATTTCAAAAATCAATCCAACTATAAATTTCCCAAAGAAGATGTTGTTGAGTATCTCAGATAAGTAGCATGGCCTTTTGTGTGGCCCCATAGCATCCTCATACACATAGCCATTGCAGTCCCAATTGAGTATATTTGTTTAAATGTGTCTCTTCCTCTCTATATTGGAAATGTCTATGACATATATTGTATATTCACATCCAAGTCAGTTTTTGAAAATACCAGGCATTCAATTAGTAATTCTGAATACGTAATTGAAGCAATCCACCTGTATAGTTTCCAAGAACTTCTTCTATGGGCCCAGAAACATGGACTTGGGAAATACATTCTATGTTTTAATCTAAAATTCTCCTGCACTGATTGCAGATTATTTTCACTTTGGAATTCTAACCCAATTGCAACTTCTTTAGCTTTTTACAAATCAAAGGGTAAATGTTTCACTTAGCATAATGCTCTCCAGGTCCACCCAAATGGTAAGAGTTATTTCTTTTTTATAGTCAGAGAAAGATAAATATCACATGATCTCACTCATTTGTGGAATATAATGAACAACATAATCTGAAGAACTGAAATAGATCCAGAGATATAGAAGCATGGAACAGACCATTGAGCCTTGGAGGGAAGGCAGGGGAGGTTGTGGGGGTGGGGAGTAAAAAATCAACCAAAGGACTTGTATGCATACATATAAGCACAACCAAAGGACACAGACAGTAGCGGGGGAGGGCGGGGACATGTGCTGGGGGGCAAGGGAGGGGCCAGGTCAATGGGGGGAAAAGGAGACATATGTAATACTTTCAACAATAAAGAATTTAAATTAAAAAAAGAGTAAATGTATCCACAAATGTAATTTTGTCATCATTTTTATCTTGAGAATAGATTCAGTTCTATACATTTTTATGAAAAGATGGTTCCCCAAACTAATCTATTAAGACTCTGAGTCATGTCATGAGAAATAAGGCTTACGTAAAACAAAATATGTACTACATAAAACTAACTAGTGTAAGACTTTTTTTAAATATAAATTTTAGAAACTTGGGGCACAATTTAAATTATAACCTATCAGTGTTCTTTGTGCTAAACCAGTTTAGTATGGTAACCATTCAAGAGAGCTGTCAATAAGAACTAAACTATTTTATCCTCCTTTTTCTTTTTTTTACTTCCTGATACTAACTTAAAGAAATATGTAAGGAATAAAGAAGAGGAAGAGCAAAGAGCAGTGGGAAATTACTCTGCCAATATGAGCACCTACGACAATTCAACGTCTCAGTTATTGACATTTCATAAGTATGTAGATTTGAGAAATAAAGATTTTACAGGAGTAATATTCAGATTCTTGAAAAGCAGGAATAAACTTTTAACATTTCAGTAATAAGTGGCTTATGTCACCCCATCAGAATTTGGTAATATAAGACTAAGGCCAGTTACAACACTAAATAGCACATGACATGAAAACCTCATTGATGGGCTTGTGAGAGCTCTTAAAGGACAGCTGTGCTCCCGCTGCCTTTCCATGGAATACAAATCAATTGAAAATGCCATTTGAGCATTGCACTTTAGTGAATATTAAATATCAAATGCTTCCCACTGCTGGCAGTAAGTGGTCCACATTGATTTTTCCCCTTGACTCTACTGGCATCCTGCAAATGAAGCCTGTCTCTGTGGACTTTTACTATGTGTGTTAATATGCACCATGGGAAGAATGCATCATATCAGAGCCCCAACCCTGTGAGAGCAGTGTGTGGATAAAGAACATTTGCTCTTAGAACCACAGCTGGCTTAGGAAAGTATGATTCCTGCCACAGATTTATGTCTTATCAAAATGAGTTTGCATCTTTGGAGGTCTGCATAATGTCAGATCTATGGCTTTTATAGAAACACAAACTGTTGTGATAGAATATTATGAAGGGATAATCCTTGACAAGGTTGCAAAGTATAGCACAGATCATTGATTCTCAGACATGGAAGCACATTGGAGTCACCAGGGGAGTTTATAAAACGATGCCTGACTGGACCCAACCCCCAGGGATTATGATTTAATGGTGTGGTGGTGTGGGCTGTGGCCTTAGCAGCTGGATTTTTAATTGCCTTCCAAGTGATTCTAGTGGGCAGTCAAGGCTGAACACTACTGATGTGAGAATATGTGCTGTCATTCAAGTTTAGAGAAGGCATTCTCCCATTGAGATGGTTACTGATTATGATTGTATTTGTTTATTCCCTGGATCACTCACATTCACATTCACATGCTTGTTTGCTTGATACTTGGCCTCTAGTAGTGAGTGAGTGTGTGTGTGTGTGTGTGTGTGTGTGTGTGTGTGTGTGGTGCACATTTGGGAAGGGAGCTAGTCACTTAGAATGTTTTGCTTTGTTCATAACTTGCTAATAAAATGAGCATAGAATTTTTCAGAAAACTGTTGGCAACAGATGGACATCTCTTTAGACTATTGGTATAAAACTGGACTTGATTGTCAGGTTTAACAAAGAATAAGTTGTTCATTAAAAATAAATGGTTTAGTGTAGCATGAAGGGCTTAGTCTACTACCTGGAATTCACAATCTGGGGGCTCAGCAGACCACAGAGGATGATGGTCTAGAAGGGTAGAGAGACCCTTCCACCTCTTTCCAACACTGTCTGGCCTACTTCCCCCAGAATCAAAATATATGCTGACCCAAATGAGCCTTAGGAGGGTCACAACTGAATCAGATGATTATTCTAAAACCACATAGATTGGGGTGGGTGCAGTGGGAGAAGGAATTCAGCAGTCTAGCAACACTCCTAGTACTGTAAAGACATGACATACTGCTTGAGTCATCATGAGTCATGGGTGAAGGATGGGAGTGGAGGAGCGGGTCCTCCAGGGATACGCCTTAGGCATCCTCCAGCTTATCCATGACCCTTCTGGGTGCTCCTACTTGCTCATTCCAACTCCTTTCTCCTGTTCTCTCTCATTCATTAATTGGCTTTCTATGCTTTCACTTTCCAGGGTCTTCCAGGCTATCACATCTGCCTAAGGAAATCAACTTGGCCCATTAAGACTTCCAAATGTGACACTTTTGGTTTTAATAAAAGTAAATGGCATGTGACTTTCCCAGTTACTGTTGGTTCTGTCCTAAGAGGTAGTGGTGAGGGGATTCCTTTGGTCTCAAGAATAAGGTTTGGAACAGTGAAAGGCTTATACTTGGTTTCTTTTTCCTTAAAATGTCTGAAATCATTCCTATCTCAACTTTCAGGAGACAGTTTCTTTTCAAATATTCCCAACTGGACCACAAAAGACATTCCTCTACTTTATCTACTTTGACTTTGACCTGATTCCTAACTGCATAGTATCTTTTTATATTAAGAGAGTGTTTCTCCTTTCCCTGACCTGGTGATGTTATAAGATATCTTGTATTAACTATTAATGAAGGGCACAATGCCCAGATTGCTTCTCTCTGACCTCTAAATCCAATGTGTCTAAATGAGGCAGAGGGACCTCAGTTCACCCCACCACACTGCATTCTCCACAGAGCTCACTATTTCTTACCACTGATGTTTACTTAAAGGTGTAGGGTTCAGGAAGAATGAGAGAGGATAATAAAGTACAGCTGCCTACTACTCAAAAGAAATATTATATACCCAATCTAAGTGCAGAAGAATAAAGCCTCACTTGAAATTTTAACAGTAATAAAAGGTTCCACAACTACTTTTCTACCTATGCTTCTGTAGCTAATAATGATGACAAATGTCTCTTGGTACTCTTTTGTAGGAAATAAAAAGCCAATAATTAATCTGCCATCATACACCCAAACACAATAATAGGATTATCACTAAGCATAGGGTCCTGTAGAGAATAGGCATCTTATCTAATAAAAGAGAAACATGCAAATTGACCATACCTTCACTACTCACAAGCCCCGCCCACCATCCTTGCCCACCAGCCAATCAGAGCTACTATATGCAAATTAACCCAACCAAGATG